CTTTACAAAATATACACAAATATACAAGTTTAACAACAATATATGAACCAACAAACGACCACATGACCCCAACTCCTCCTGAAAATACACAAATCTATAAAATATACAGGTTTAAATACAGTTTAAATACAGTTTAAATACAGTTTAAATACAGTTTAAATACAGTTTAAATACAGTTTAAAACAGTCTGGGAGTCCCGGCTTAGACTCGGCCCTGGATAAGTGGAAGAAAATGGATGGAGGTTTAAATCCAGGTTTAAGAGCAAATAAGTCCGGCTCACCTTGCTGCAGAAAGGCTCCGTAGACGATCCAGATGGCGCTGTGGAGGCTGCCGGCGGCGCTCTGCCCCGGTGCGTTCTGGGAGTTGGAGTTTCTGAGCGCGTGCAGTCTGTTGAGGAGGAAGATGAGGACGCCGACGACGGGGATGGAGGCGGCGACGCAGGCCCAGACCGACGGCTCGAACGGCGCCAGCAGAGAGAACATGTCCAGCCTCTCCACGGGCTTCCGCAGCAAAATCCCCACGCTGTAGTCCAGGTAACGCTTGGAAAAGTCCACCACACTCTCCCGCTCCGGAGTGATGGTCAGAGCCGACACCGCCACGTCTGCTTTCTGAAAGACAGAAAGAGAGAAAGGAGAGAGTGATGAGTGACAGACAGTGCACTGTCTACTACTCCATTGTTCTACTGGGGGACTTCAACGCCCACGTGGACAACGACAGTGACACTTGGAGAGGAACGTCCTCCTGATCTGAACCTGTGTTCTGTTATTGGACGTTTGTGTTAGTCACAGTTTGTCCATAACCAACACCATGTTCGAGCACAAGGTCCATAAGTGCACGTGGCACCAGGACACCCTCGGCCGGAGGTCGATGATCGACTTTGTAGTCGTGTCATGTGACCTCTGGCCGCGTGTCTTGGACACTCAGGTGAAGAGAGGGGCTGAGCTGTCAACTGATCACCACCTGGTCGTGAGTTGGGTTTCGCTGGTGGAGGAGGAAGCCGGAAAGACCTGGCAGACCCAAGCGTGTAGTGAGGGTCTGTTGGAACATCTGGCAGAGCCTCTGTCAGAGGGACTTTCAACTATCGGGCTGCAGCCCGTGTGGTCGCAGAGGCAAAAGCTCGGAGCTGGGAGGAGTTCGGGGAGGCCATGGAGAAGGACTATCAGACGGCCTCAAAGAGACTGTGTCAAACCGTCCGGCGCCTCAGGAGGAGGAAGCAGTTCTTCACCAACACTGTTTCCAGTGCGGGGGGAGAACTGTTGACCTCGACTGGGGACGTTGTCCGGCGGTGGAAGGAAAACTTTGAGGACCTCCTCAATCCCACTGTCACGTCCTCCGAGGAGAAAGTCGAGACTGGAGACTTGGAGGTGGACTCGTCAATCACCTTGGCTGAAGTCACTGAGGTGGTTAAAGCTCCTCGGTGGACAAGATCCGTCCTGAGGATCTTAAGTCTCTGGATGTTGTGGGTCTTGTCTGACACGTCTCTTCAACATCGCGTGGCGGTCGGGGACAGAACCTCTGGACCTTCAGACCGAGGTGTTGGTCCCTCTGTATAAGAAGGGGGACTGGAGGGTTTGTTCCAACTACAGGGGGATCACACTCCTCAGCCTCCCCGGTCTGTGTCAGGGACTGGAGAGGAGAATCCGTCTGATAGTTGAACCTCAGATCCAGGAGCAGCAGTGTGGTTTTGGTCCTGGTCGTGGACACTGGACCAGATCTACACTCTCCATCGGGCGCTCGAGGTTCATGGGAGTTTGTACAGTCCACATGTGCTTTGTGGATCTGGAGACGAGTGTCTCGTGGTGTCCTGTGGGGGGCGCTCTGGGAGTCTGGGGTTGTGTTTGTTGTCGGCATAAGTCAGACCTGTTCCTGGTGCATGTTGGATTCTACTCACGGTGCACAATCCGTCCAAAGAGCCGTTTGTCCCTAAAGCTCAACAACTGTCAGTGTTAAAATTAGTTTTTGTTGTTAATATAATTTTCTACAAAAGTTTCACCAGAGCACATGAACAAAAAGACCCTAAGATGCAGTTTGGCTCTTATTGATAAATGAACTTTCCGGTAACAGCTACAGGCGCCGTGTGGAAATGCTCCGCTCCCGCCTGAAGTGGGATCATTTGTGTCCAGATTCTGCAGCGTCATTTCGCCTCATCAAAACTCCAATTCAACATGTCTGTAATTATACTTTGACTAGGCACAATGAAGCTTACGGACATTTTTAATCTCTAATCAAAACTCATTACAAGAGAAATCTACAACTAAACGAGTATCCAAAACTCCACTTAGAGATTTCTACAACATCATTTGGCCTCGTCAAAACTTAAGCGATCTTCAACTGAGGTGAATTAAAGACATCTTGAACTTAAGTTATGACTGGTCAGAAACAAATTGTAGAATCTCAAACTGGAATTACACAGATCTGTATTTCAGTTGCAAATCTCTGTCATTTATGTTGTGGATTTGTGTAATTATGAAACTCAAACAAATGAACAGCAAAAGTGACGTCATTTGCCCTGGAAAGAATGTTGTTTGGAATATTTAAAATGACAAATGTGGAAATGGAGAATGTTGTTGTGGATATCTGAAATATTTTTTATGACAAGGCAAAACTGAGTTAGAGAATCTGCAGTACGTCTCCAGTGTTTAAATGTCTGAAGGTCACAGAGCTGAAGTTTCTCCTCTGTGACGACGTCACTTTTGAGCCTCCAGTTTCCACAGGATTTTATTTAAAACGTTTAGTTTCATAAAATCCTCGAGTTCAGACTGAAACATCTGTGAGGTGTTGGCCCATATTCTCATCCGTGTGTGTGTGTGTGTGTGTGTGTGTGTGTGTGTGTGTGTGTGTGTGTGTATGTGTGTGTGTGTGTGTGTGTGTGTGTGTGTGTGTGTGTGTGTGTGTGTGTGTGTGTGTGTGTGTGTGTGTGTGTGTGTGTGTGTGTGTGTGTGTGTGTGTAGTGTGTGTGTGTGTGTGTGTGTGTGTGTGTGTGTGTGTGTGTGTGTGTGTGTGTAGTGTGTGTGTGTGTGTGTGTGTATGTGTGTGTGTGTGTGTGTGTGTGTGTGTGTGTGTGTGTGTGTGTGTGTGTGTGTGTGTGTGTGTGTGTGTGTGTGTGTGTGTGTGTGTGTGTGTGTGTGTGTGTGTGTGTGTGTGTGTGTGTGTGTGTGTGTGTCTGTGGCAGCAGAGACATTTTCCCGTCACAGTGAATGAAAAAAGCAAAATCAACACTTTTGTTTTTAATGTCAAACTGAATCTAAAGTAAAAGAGCAAAGTGACGCAGTGAAGTGAACAAACTGAACCAAACTTTAAATGTCAAAACCTCCTGAGAAGAAACACACAGAGAATGTGAATATTCTCAAACTTATTTATTTAAATACTTAAAGACTTAAACATTTAAATACTTATATATTTAAATATTTATATATTTAAATATTTAAATACTTATATATTTAAATATTTATATACTTATATTTTTATATATTTATATATTTAAATACTTATACTTATATATTTAAAGGCTGCAGGCTGCAGTCGTTAGTTTATAAAGTCGTGTTTATTGGTTGAACAGTTTGTCGTTTTACTCCAGGGTTTAACTTTTACTCTGACTCCTGTGTTAGTTCTGGAGGTTTACTCTGCTCTGGTGAACACTCTGTACTTTTACTCTAAATAAATAAAACTCTCTTACACTGAGGGGACAATAACTTTACTATAAACGTTTACAGGGAGCAGACTGTACCTTGTTGATGAGGTCTCCGATCATCCCGTTCCACGAGCCGTTTGGGAGCTGAGAGCCGTACTTACTGTCCCCCACCTGGACACACACGGCATAAAGTACAGGATTTAAAGTATTTGTAGTATTTAGAGTATTTGGAGTATAACATGTGTATCTCAGACCTGGTAAATGTCGTATTTGAAGCCCAGACTTTTGGCCAGAGCGTCCAGAACATCGATGGAGAATCCTTTGTAGCGTTTGGGCTGCCCCAGGATGTTCTCCGCCACCATCACAAACGGGTCCTCCTAAAAATACAGGTACACAAATACACACAATATTACACACAAAATATACAAATACACACAATATTCTACACAAAATATAGTGTAAATACACACACATGACACCAGAACAAACAGGTCCTTCTGTAGAGACACAAAATACATACAAAAGTTTAAAGTGGAACTAAACATTAGAAATTTTTATCAACTTTAATCAACAAACTACTGTTCCTTTTGACCATCATTTAATGGAAACTTTAAAGTAAAGAAGGTAAATTTGCAGCTTTCTGGTCAAAAATATATTTAAAATAAAATCATAAAACTGTGTGTCCTGGCTGCAGAGACAGCAAATGTGGCAGAAGACCTTCCAGAGGAAACACTTGGAGGGAATGAACCATTTTATCACTAATCAAAAGTCAAGATTGGAGTAAGAGCGAGACCTTTCCTGTTGTGTTCACCTGGCGCCCCCTGGAGGCCGCTGTGATGCTGCAGGACACAGAGGAGGGACACTTTTGGCTCTTCCTCTTGTCAAACTGCCCTGGCACAGACCTGACCCTCCCTGAGCAGTGAGACCTTTGACTGACACACAGAGGTCACGCAACTGCAACAGATTGCTGCAGTAAAACTTGAACGGTGTTGTGTGTGACCCACGTGACAAACATCTGCCTCCTTCTAGATGCACCTGAACCTATCGCTCCAATCTTTCACTATTGCACTTAAATATCGCAGTGTTAAATCTCCGTGTCACAAGGTCACGTGATGCTGCACCCAGTCGTGTGAGCTCATTGTGCCGCTGTGATTCAGTCTGAGTTCGGTGCTTTTGGAAGCCGGTTGAGAGTCGAGCTGCAGGAGTTTCTATCGTGTCCCAAAATCAGGTTAAAGGGCTTGTGTGCACGGTGTTGTCCACGGAAACTGGTCAGGTTTTTACCCCCTGATGGCTGAAAGGAGCAGGCCTCAAGCCGACAGAGCCAATAGAAACTACTGAAACCTACTGAGATACTGCAGAGCTGCACCTCTCCTGCCGAGCCGGTAGGCGGCTCTTTGCAGCCCACAAAAACTCTCCCAACGCACCCACAGGCCCATCGCCCACAGGCCCATCGCCCACAGGCCCATCGCCCACAGGCCCATCGGCCCATCGCCCACACAGGCCCATCGCCCACTGACTTTCACACATTCCCCTCACAAACTCTTGCTGCACTTCACCTCCCTCTGGATGTCCGGTGTGTGTGAGCTGGGTTCAGATGTTTGTGTCCTGGTTGTACTTATTATTGTTGGACTCTCGATATATTTTTGCTCCCAATTATTCATTGTCGTGCCTTGACTGAACTTGTTTATTAAAACTGTTGTATTTTACTGAATATTTGCTCCGTCTGCACTGTCTGTGTTTTATGTTTGTGTGTCAATTTACTATTTCATTATCCATCCATTCATCCATTTTCGTCCACTTATCCGGGGCCGGGTCGCGGGGGCAGCAGCCTAAGCAGGGACTCCCAGACTTCCTTCACCCCAGACACGTCCTCCAGCTCCTCCGGGGGACCCCGAGGCGTTCCCAGGCCAGCCGAGAGACATAGTCCCTCCAGTGTGTCCTGGGTCTTCCTCCTCTCCCGGTGGGACATGCCCAGAACACCTCCTGAGGGACACGTCCAGGAGGCATCCGGAACAGATGCCCGAACCTCAACTGGCTCCTCTCCACGTGGAGGAGCAGCGGCTCTACTCCGAGCTCCTCCCGTGTGACTGAGCTCCTCACTCTGTCTCTAAGGGAGACGCCCAGACACCCTGCGGAGGAAAACTCATTTCGAGCGCTTGTATCCTGCGATCTCGTCCTTTTCGGTCACTACCCAGAGCTCATGACCAGAGGTGAGAGGTAGGAACGAAGACTGACCAGTAAATCGAGAGCTTCGCCTTTCGGCTCAGCTCCTCTTCACCACAACGACCGATACAGCGACCGCATCACTGCAGACGCTGCACCTGTCCACCTGTCAATCTCACGCTCCGTCCTCCCCTCACTCGTGAACAAGACCCCGAGATACTTGAACTCCTCCACTTGAGGCAGAGACTCTCCACCACCCGGAGAGGGCAAGCCACCTTTTTCCGGTCGAGAACCACAGCCTCAGACTTAGAAGAGCTGATCTTCATCCCAGCCGCTTCACACTCGGGTCAAAACCGCCCCAGTGCTGCAGGTTCCTGGCTCGATGAAGCAACAGACAACATCATCTGCGAACAGCAGAGATGAATCCTGTGGTCCCCAAACCGGACCCCCTCCGGCCCCTGACTGCGCCTAGAAATTCTGTCCATAAACACAATGAACAGAACTGGTGACAGGTGCAGCCCTGGCGGAGTCCAACATGCACCGGGAACAGGTCTGACTTACTGCCGGCAATGAACACAGCTCCTGCTCCGGTCATACAGGGACCGGACCCCAGACTCCCAGAGCGCCCCCCACAGGACACCACGAGGGTCACGGTCCAAAGTCTTCTCCAAGTCCACAAAGCACATGTGGACTGGTTGGGCAAACTCCCATGAACCTCGAGCACCGATGGAGAGTGTAGATCTGGTCCAGTGTCCACGACCAGGACCAAAACCACACTGCTCCTCCTGAATCCGAGGTTCGACTATCAGCCGGATTCTCCTCTCCAGTCCCTGGCATAGACTTACAGGGAAGGCTGAGGAGTGTGATCCCCCTATAGTTGGAACACACCCTCCGGTCCCCCTTCTTATACAGAGGGACCACACACCCGGTTTGCCAGTCCAGAGGTTCTGTCCCCGACCGCCACGCGATGTTGAAGAGGCGTGTCAGCCAAGACCCACAACATCCAGAGACTTCAGGTACTCAGGACGGATCTCATCCAACCCCGGAGCCTTGCCACCAAGGAGCTTGCCAACCACCTCAGTGACTTCAGCCAGGGTGATGGATGAGTCCGCCTCCGAGTCTCCAGCCTCGGCCTCCTCCTCGGAGGAGGACGTGACGGTGGGATTGAGGAGGTCCTCAAAGTTGTCCTTCCACCGCGGACAACGTCCCCAGTCGAGGTCAGCAGCTCTCCCCCCGCACTGTAAACAGTGTTGGTGAAGAACTGCTTCCCCCTCCTGAGGCGCCGGACGGTTTGCCAGAATCTCTTTGAGGCCGTCCGATAGTCCTTCTCCATGTTCCCCCGAACTCCTCCCAGCTCCGAGTTTTTGCCTCCGCGACCACACGGGCTGCAGCACGCTTGGCCCGCCGGTACCTGTCAGCTGCCTCAGGAGTCCCCGAGCCAGCAAGGCCTGAATAGGACTCCTTCTTCAGCTTGACAGCATCCCTTACTTCCGGTGTCCACTACCGGGTTCTGGGGTTGCCGCCGCGACAGGCACCACAGACCTTACGCCCACAGCTCCGAGCAGCCGCATCGACAATAGAGGCCGAGAATGAAGCCCACTCAGACTCCATATCTCCAGCCTCCCCCGGAATCTGGGAGAAGTCCTCCCGGAGGTGCGAGTTGAAAGTCCCTCTGACAGAGGCTCGCCAGACTTCCAACAGACCCTCTACACGCTTGGGCCTGCCAGGTCTTTCCGGCTTCCTCCTCCACCAGCGAACCCAACTCACCACCAGGTGGTGATCAGTTGACAGCTCAGCCCCTGTCTTCACCCGAGTGTCCAAGACACGCGGCCGGAGATCAGCATGACACGACTACAAAGTCGATCATCGACCTCCGGCCGAGGGTGTCCTGGTGCCACGTGCACTTATGGACACCCTTGTGCTCGAACATGGTGTTTGTTATGGACAAACTGTGACTAACACAGAAGTCCAATAACAAAACACCACTCGGGTTCAGATCAGGAGAGGCCGTTCCTCCCAATCACCCCTCTCCAAGTGTCACTGTCGTTGCCCACGTGGGCGTTGAAGTCCCCCAGGAGAACAACGGAGTCCCCGGTCGGTGCACTGTCTAGTACCCCTCCCAAGGACTCCAAGAAGGCCGGGTACTCGAGTACTCAGCACTGCTGTTCGGCCCATAGGCCGACACCACAGTGAGAGACCTGTCCCCGACCCGAAGGCGCAGGGACGCGACCCTCTCGTTCACCGGGGTGAACTCCAACACACAGAGACTGAGCTGTGGGGCGATGAGCCCCACCACACACACACACCAGCCCCACCCCCCCACACCAGCCCGCCGCCGCTCCCCGCGGCCAACGCCAGAGAAATGGAGAGTCCAGCCCCTCTCAAGGAGTTGGTTCCAGAGCCCAAACTGTGCTGGAGGTGAGGTCGACTATATCAAGTCGGTAACGCTCAACCTCCCGCACAAGCTCAGGCTCCTCCCCCCAGCGAGGTGACATTCCATGTCCCCAGAGCCACAGTCTCCATGTCCAGAGATCGGTCGCCGAGGCCCCGCCGTCGACTGCTGCCCAGATCTCTCTGCACCGGCCCCATATGGCTCCTCCTGCGGGTGTTGGGCCACGTGAGGACGGCCCCACGTCGCTCCTTCGGGCTGAGCCCGGCCGAGCCCCGTGGGGGGAGGCTCGGCCCCCAGGCGCTCGCTGATGAGCACCCACCCCAGGCCTGGCTCCAGGGTGAGGCCTCGGTGACGCCAATCCGGGCGACATAACTGGCCTCTGTGTTGCACTCATCATAGGGGCTTCTGAACCGTTCTTCGTCTGACCCGTCCCCCCGGACCTGTTTGCCTTGGGAGACCAGGGGCATGAAGCCCCCGACAACAGAGCTCCTGGGATCATTCGATATTTCATTATTTACTTTATTATACGATACCAAACCAAAAGCAAATCTCAGTCTCCAAGAGCTGAATACTAGTCTTCTGGTCACTATCCAATATTACTACTATTACTACTCTATTACTCTAACACTACTGTGTCCAGTTGTACTTCTACTACACACTCTGACACAGGTGTTACATGTGGTTCAGGTGGAGGCGTGTGCAGGTGAAGCGGCGTCTCACTCTCCCAGTCGTCGTCATGGGACAGAGAGGAACAAACAGAAATGTCATTTTGATTTGTTTTTATGTCCCGTACGTGAAGAAACTGACAATAAAACAAAAACACTTGACTGCAGGGGCGGAGTTTGAAGTGTGGACACCTGCTCGACCAATCACATTGTTCCTTATACCTCCTGACCCCGCCCCTCCTCCTCCTGACCCCGCCCCTCCTCCACCTGTCCCCGCCCCTCCTCCACCTGTCCCCGCCCCTCGTGTTACTCACCAGCAGAGTGACGACCTTCACCGTGACTCCCTGCATCCCGTTCTCGATCCGACTCTCCTTCAGACTCCCGTTCAACCCAGTCACCGAGTCCCAGAGCGCCAACTACAGGACGAGACAGGAAATACACTTTAAACAGCAGGACCAAACCAGAACTAAACCAGGACTAAACCAGGACTGAACCAGGACTGAACCAGGACTGAACCAGGACTAAACCAGGACTAAACCAACCAGAACTAAACCAAGACTAAACCAGAGACTAAACCAGAACTAAACCAGGACTAAACCAGAACTAAACCAGAACTAAACCAGGACTAAACCAACTAAACCAGGACTAAACCAGGACTAAACCAGAACTAAACCAGGAAAGGACTAAACAGACTAAACCAACTAAACAGAACTAAACCAACTAAACAGGACTAAACCAGGACTAAACCAGAACTAAACCAGGACTAAACAGGACTAAACCAGACTAAACCAGGACTAAACCAGGACTAAACCAGAACTAAACCAGGACTAAACCAGGACTAAACCAGAACTAAACCAGAACTAAACCAGGACTAAACCAGGACTAAACCAGGACTAAACCAGAACTAAACCAGGACTAAACCAGAACTAAACCAGGACTAAACCAGACTAAACCAGAACTAAACCAGAACTAAACCAGGACTAAACCAGGACTAAACCAGGACTAAACCAGAACTAAACCAGGACTAAACCAGGACTAAACCAGGTCTAACCAGGACTAAACCAGGACTGAACCAGGACTGAACCAGGACTGAACCAAGACTAAACCAGGACTAAACCAGGACTAAACCAGGACTGAACCAGGACTAAACCAGGACTGAACCAGGACTAATTCTCCAAACTTCTAACCCTGTAAAGCCATTTGTATCATATTTGATACACAACATTCTGATGCCCACACACATCATCAATATTTTTCCTGAAAAACCTGTTGTTTACAATAAAAATACTTGTGTGCCGCCCCCTGGTGGACTGTCCATGGTTTTCAGTAAATAACAGACTCAGAGGAGACAGTTTGAAAATATCCACTTTGTCCATTTTGAAAAGTTGCCTAAATATTGTTAGTGATTCTCCAAAATGAACATTTTCTTTCTTAGATTAATCTATGAAGTCTTCATATTTTTATTTTCATTTGTAGAAAAATCATGTTAAAATTGTTTGTATCAGATTTGTTACAGCAGGTCTTTGTGATTATGAACCTCATCCATCACTATTTCACATTTTATGATGTAATCTGCAGAATTCATGTAAATCAAAGCAAATTTAACACCACACAATTTTTAGTATGTCATAACTAAAATGTCACCTTAAAATATATATATTTTCAATTGTTATTATTATTATTATTATTATTATTGCAGGATGGTGGAGTTTTGATCTTTACATGACTTGTGTATCAATAAAAGGTACAGTGGTTTATTTGGTGTAACTGTCGTGTCTCTTCAGTTTTAACACAAAATCACTAATAATCTATATTTGAGAATTTTGAGGATTCACTCATTTATTTTTTTTAACATTTATTTATAATAATTTCACACATGTACGGTGGGAAATGTGACGTACATCTGAGCTTCAACAAAGACCAAACCTGTTTTCTCTCGTCCCACATGGCAAAATAAAAATAAAAAGACATTTTAAAACAGAAAAGGAAATGTTCCGAAAAGTTTCTCTGAGTTCTAAATGCATCAAAGAGAATTTAGTTTGTTCCTAAATTAAACATGGTTGGGTTTTATAAAATGACCACAGCGGCCCAACGTATCAAATATGATACATTTATTATTTCTAAAATGGTCAAAGTTATCAAAGTAATCATTATTATGATTCTTTTATTTTTTTTTACATTTTGTTCAAAGGTCCAATGATGAGTTAAACATAAAAAAATTGGTATTATTTATTATTTCATGTTTCAGGCTTATTTTATTTATTTATTTAGTGAGTTTATTTATTTAATTGATAAAGTATAAAAAGACATTGAAAGTGTCACAACATCAGACACACAAGAAATGAATGAAAAGGAGCAGAAAGAAGAAAAATCGTCTGTTCTCTGTCCCGTTTCCTGTTTCAAGACAAAACATCAACACTGATGTCACTAAACATTTGAAATCAGTTCAGGCACAATTCACTGATCAATTACAAACACAAATCTTCACTTTTATGCCCAACAACTTAGTTTTATTTTTCGTACAAACACGTTGCATTTGATCTGATGTGTTTTTTAAATGTCGTCATTGTTCTTGATTCTTTTATTTCTTTGTCCAGACTCTTCCATAAGTTTAACTCCTCTCACAGCGACGCTTCGCTCCAGAACCTCGGGTCTGAATCTGGGTTTTTTAAACATGTCGGTTCATTTTAAATTGTCGTGTTTTGTTCTCAGCTCAAACAGTTTTGGAATATTTACAGGCGACACTCTGCACTTTGCTTCATACACGACTTTGAGGAGACTTAACTCAACAATATCCTGTATTTTCAACACTTTAAGTTGAATAAATATTGGGTTGTTTGTCTCAGACTCATGTTGTTCCGGGGTCGTGTCCAACCGACTTTGATCCAAAGTGTCCGGATCAGAAAACTCATGTCATATAAACCCCAAAAATAACAAGAAGTTCAAATATTTGTGCAGAGAAACACAAATCTATTACAGAAATCTTTTTTAACTGATGAACTCTTTCTTATTATATGTTTATAATATTATGAACAAACTGAAACTTTAAGAAAAATCCAATTTCAACACAAAGTTTGAACATGAACTTGTCTGTAAACAGGAATAAGTCCATTTTTGTTGTAAAATCCTGCACTCGGCTCCACTTTTCTCATGTTGGACATTTTTCTGATGAGGTTGTCACGGTCAACAGTCAAAACGATCGTCCTTTAAGACGTTTGGAAAGAGACAAGTCTTCATTTGTGCTGCTCTGGTGGGAGGGGCCACGTACAGAGACGCTGGAGACGCTGCTGTGATAAACACCACAGAAAATTAACAACATTTTAATAAAAAATTAGAATTAAAATATTTTAGTAGAAAATCACCCAAGGGCCACATTAAAGGTCTTGGAGGGCCGGATCTGGCCCCCGGGCCGTAGGTTTGACACCTGTGCTCTACAGTATAAAGTCTGTTGGTGATGCTTCTCAAGGCTCTTTTTTGTCAAATAAATAAAGTCTGTAGGTGAGTTTTAATGTCTCCACAGTCCATCAGATCTGGTGAGTTGTACAAAGTGAATAAAGCTGCACGATTTAGTGAGAACTTGACTTTATGCAGAACAACAGAGACTTGGGAATTTTTTCTTTTTGTTTCATTTATGAGACAAACTCCAGTTTAGATCCTCATCGATCAGAACTGCTAAAAAATGTGGCGGGGCTTTTACAGGGCTGATCCACAAATGTTTCTCCTTCTGATTCTCCACAAACTTCAGGTGATTCAGATAAGTCGTGTTAGAGAAACACAGCGTCAGTCCTCGTGCTCGTTCAGAATCACTGTTGAAGTTTCCTGTTTAGAAGTGATTCAGCGACGGACGCGTCAGTTTTTAGACTCTTCGTCTGCTTCGGTCGCGCCATCGCTGGACGAGATCTCCAAGAATCACCTCAGTTTGTCTTCGCTCCTTTTCCTCTTCTCTTCTTCTTTCAGCGACCTTAAAAAACGACTTTCTTTTGCGGCGAACTGGTCGTGGATTCTCGTCCGCCGTCGCAACAAACTTTGTGTGAAATGCGAGGAAGCGACAGTTCGAAAAAGCCTCTAAGAACCAGCCGCATAAACCACGAAATCCCCGCGCGCCGACGAGTCAGTTATACCAGGGAGTTTGATTGACAACCTAACAGCCAATAGAAAATGAGGGAGCCTCGTTTTCTATTGGCTGATGTTTATCTGGCCTCAACACGTCCACAGTTTATAGATTTTCGTTCTTTTTTTTTTAATCATCATAATTACAAAGCTGCTGCGTCTCTGTAATGGTATTTTAATCTTTCACTGACAGTTTGAGACAAAAAAAAATCCTCCATAAAACCTTTAAATGAAAGTCTAAGTGGAGTCCCAGAGCTTCAGACAGAGCAGTGCCTCCAGTTAGCGTCAGATGGGACAGCAGCAGTTTGAGGAGGAGGACGGGTCATTGAAACAGACTTCATCATAAACACATTTTACACCATAAACATTTGCGCAGAGCAGGACTGATCTGTTTTTACGCTCGTCTCATTTTGTCTCGGAGTCATTTGCTTAATTTCAATAAACGAGGATTAATAAGGCGTAAAAAACGAAAGCGGCGACGGAACGGATGAGAAACTCCTGAAGAAGACAACGCCGCCGTTAAAACTGAAGAAGAAGAAGATAATTATCTGAGAAAAATCACCAAGATACAAGAGACAGACTCTGAAACTGTTTAAGAACTAAACCAGGACTAAACCAGGACTAAACCAGGACTAAACCAGGTCTAAACCAGGACTAAACCAGGTCTAAACCAGGACTAAACCAGGTCTAAACCAGGACTAAACCAGGTCTAAACCAGGTCTAAACCAGGACTAAACCAGGTCTAAACCAGGACTAAACAGGACTAAACCAGGTCTAAACCAGGTCTAAACCAGGACTAAACCAGGTCTAAACCAGGTCTAAACCAGGACTAAACCAGGACTAAACCAGGACTAAACCAGGACTAAACCAGGACTAAACCAGGTAAACAGGCTAAACCAGGACTAAACCAGGACTAAACCAGGACTAAACCAGGTTAAACCAGGACTAAACCAGGTCTAAACCAGGTCTAAAACCAGGTAAACCAGGATAAACCAGGTCTAAACCAGGTCTAAACCAGGACTAAACCAGGACTAAACCAGGACTAAACCAGGACTAAACCAGGACTAAACCAGGTCTAAACCAGGACTAAACCAGGACTAAACCAGGTCTAAACCAGGTCTAAACCAGGACTAAACCAGGACTAAACCAGGACTAAACCAGGTCTAAACCAGGACTAAACAGGACTAAACCAGGTCTAAACCAGGACTAAACCAGGACTAAACCAGGTCTAAACCAGGACTAAACCAGGACTAAACCAGGACTAAACCAGGACTAAACCAGGTCTAAACCAGGACTAAACCAGGAC